TTACGCGTCCACCATTGTCATGTTCGGGCCATGTGCACCAATAACATCGGAAAGTCAAACCTTGATCCTTGTATTCTGGTAAACAAGAAATCAATTATTAAAATTTGGAAATGGGTGTTATGTTTTCATGAAATATTCATTGACAAAAACCTGAGGCTGCCACTACCACCACAAGTCTAGCATGGGTTCCATTTCCTGCGCAAGATCGATATTCACACCCCTACTCCCTTGCGAGACATGCAGAATGTTATATGGAGATATGCAAATGTTGACTTTCAATTAATGTGGTAGAGGTGGGATGAAATCAATGACAACGTCATTCGTGGATGAAATAAAAGAGTAGCATCCTCTTCGTAGCATCTTCCACACTTGCCTGATCGGATAGAGAGCAGCTGTTTCAGTCTGGACAAGACATGAAGGAATCATTCAACGGAGGGAGATATCCGTCCATGAATAATACCACGCGAATATTCGATATATGAAATGAAGCTATCGGTTGATGCTCATAGAATGCACTCTTAAAACTCATTACATTTAGATTGGTTTGATGGCATATACTATATATTACAATCCATTAACTGAAAACATTAAAATGGAAAATCAATACCTTGAGAAGGATTGGGGTTTAACAATTCATAATCACACGTGATACCGTGATGCTGGTCCTACTGTGACACTGCAGACATGGAACGACCTTGGCACCAGCGTGTTCCGCAATAAACTCTTCTGCCAATGCAAGATGAACCTTGCTCTATTTCTCATCTCTGTGGGCAGAAGGGATCCCTGACAGTGGTAAGGAGGCCGTGGGCGTTTGTGTCACCGGGAACATCTTCATCAGATAGCATACGTATTGGGCTAACTAATGGGTCTCAAAGTGGCTTATCGAGCGCGAAATCTTCTAAGAATTACTAAGAACTCTATTCTTAATTATTCGTACCAGTTTCCTTATTCAACCAAATTGTTTTTGAATCAAAATATGCTGTAAAGTTATGATGAAATAATGAATAATGAATAATGTAATAACAAATACTGACACATTCCGTCTGGAACCTCATCAAGATTTTAAATATTTGCAGGCTTTTAACATCAAGAAAACGAGCTAAATTTTCATGGTATATGGTATATGTAAAGTCGCTATAGAGCTCTTACGCCACTGAAAAGGCAAACTGATGACGTGTTTAATGGACACCATGATGGAAATCAATACATAAGGATGTTTATCGTCACGTTTGAATGTCTTTCTGTACAAGCCCCCGGCTACATGTGTATGTGGAGATTGTGAAGTAGCCATTATAACTGTCTGGTTGGTGTAGAACATTGGACAGCCAGTGCGTCGATTAAATCCATTGTACCGTCAGCGTCACGACATGAAACAACATTGATTTCTGATGCCCGACATGGAGGCGGTGCTGCAGGGTACAATACTCTACAATCGCCACAACTGGTAATAATAGGGTTTAGAAAAATGGAAACAATTGTTGGCATTTCTCATGCAATAGTGATGAGTATGTGGGTGTCTGTCGCCCAATACGGACACCATAAGATTGAAACTAGTTATTCCGGGTCTCGTTGCTTCGACAAAATAATTGCTTTCCGGATATGACTGTTAGTGAGGGAAGGAATTGAGTACAGCGCCGCGTTGATGTGGGAGGAGAGCCCGAAGTGATGCAGGCCACATTGATGTGAACCACGAACACGGATATGCTGACAAGGGCAAACCTGGGATTAAAACCCAAGGTTGTAGGTTTCTGGCACGTCTCTCTCGCACAGAGAACTGCGGTGCCTTATACGACTGGGTCGTCTATAATAATTATTATAAGGAAAGAACAACAACCGTGCTAACCTAGAATTGATAACTGTTAGTATCTACATCTGCATATATACACAATACGTAACTGTGGCAACAATCTTGATATTTGGTGTTTCCGTATTTCGTACTTATCATTAATACTTATCCATTTTCCATGGCTCTGGGCTTCGTGCATTCTGAGAATATAACTAAACTTTAAGTGTAACTAACATTTTAAAACGTGCACCATCCTAATCGAGACAAACATTTACCTCCAGCTGTAGCTTCAGGGCAGGATATGTTGTGAGACAACAACGATGGCGCTCCACTGAGACTGGGATTATGTGCACTTTCATTAAAGGATCGCAACAACCGCCTTTGGCTACCCTATCACTACCTTTCGTCTATGCATCGCACATAAAGTTATAAAATCTTTATATATAGCTATTTGACTCGGACAGACCAGCCACATGACTCTGAGGTGTCCCTGTAAAGGTTCACTGGCTACCGAGGACGTCTCCAATGTGACGTATTACTTCTTAAAGAAACAAGATAGTGAGAGGTAACGTCGGAATAAGATAGAATTGTCTTCTTTATTGGGTCTCTCCTCCAAAATCCGAGAAGGATTTATCTCCAAGCTGGCTTATACGTAGTAAACATTTATTACATCGGGGCACGCCATGAATATTCATATTTTTCAAATGATACAATGTTACTGGGTTACAAAAGCGGACTTACGTATAATGCAAACATATTCAGGACTGTTCAACGCATTGTTTTTCAGATTGCAACAAATATGTGGCATGTTTAAAAAACTGCAAGTGTTTGACCATTTAAATGAAATACATACCCCCGACACAGTAATTGTATTATGATCTATCGTTGTCTGGGAGAGGCCTGACATTTCGCATGAAATAAGACCCGATGGGAAACTATGAGAGCCCCAAAGGAACACAATTGCATTAAGACTTGAATTATGCTCTGTACACCCACTCTTGTGCCATCTCTTCATTTACTCTGCAACAAATCTAAACCGTTCCCCAAGGGAGGATAACCACACACACAGACGCGGTCTTGTTTAAACCCTATGGGATATTGGGAGTATTCCAGGGCAATTCGATTATGTCTCCTGTCATACCAGAGAGAGAGAGAGAGAGAGAGAGATACATGTGATATTTGTGCTCTGGTGTTAGCTGCTGATGCTATGGTCAGATATTGTTTTGTAAATGACACGGCCGTGATGCCATGTTACATTGGCGTGTCCACACATGGAAAATAGAAATTATTTTCTCTGAATGTCTTCCAAGTGGAGGAAATGAAAATACTGTCTTTACAATGCAAATGTTATCACTTTTAGCTGGAACCAGACAGAGGCTTAATTAGTTGGTTAAAAATTAGGGACTTCACCGCAAAGTGTCCGTATGTATTTACGGCTGATATACAATTCCGTGGTTGTATTATCGATGAACGTAACATATTTAGTGTTCAAGTCTGAATTATATCACACTACCGACAGAATATACGATCAAGCGGAATATCTGTGTTGCTGAAGGGGGCAATTGAAAATCAATAAAGCAGTTTGAAAACAGTGCTATTTTGACAGTGCATCTTGGATTTTGACCCTAAATAATGCCAAAAGCTGCGCAATGTTACCTCTACTGAATAGCGTGATGTTGTGGGATTTGGGGGAGATTTAGGGTTGGTTGCTGCAACATTACATTTTCCTGGAACAGTAATTCAACAGAAAGACACCTGAGTTTGTGTACAATATCCTCAAAATGTCACGCTTGTATGATTGGTAGAATAAGCTCGGGTTATTTGGCAGTCCAATCAGATTACAATTCGTAAAGTAAAGTGAAAATAAGTGATTTTTTGCGACCTCAAGGATGGGGAATCCCTGCCATAGAGGACAATTTCGTTTGGGGGACGATTTCGCTTGTCGTTTTTATCGCTGTTTTACGCTGTTCACGTTTTTTCAAATTTAAGTTTGGTCAAGCTTTTGTGATTAGGTTTGTCCAAAAGTATTAAAATCTGCAATGTTGCAATGTTGACTTTACTTGCCCTTTAAACACCACATGTGTTGGGTAGTTTTAGTTTCATTAAGTTTGTATCAATTCAGCAGTTAATTGATTATCACACTTACACAGAGACAATGTCTCAGCTTCTCACATGGTGTTATCACCTTGTCCTGAACTAGAGAGAACATGAGCAGCAGACCGTGCAGCAGAGTGTCCCTTTAACAATCAGTGTAAACATACTTCGCATTGACTGACATATGAATATATTAAAAATATGAATATTGATAACCGGAAATGCCATTCTGCCTTTATTGTGTTGTAAGTATATATCTACAGTACAGTATTTGTTAGTTGCCTCACGTCAGGATGCCGTCTGCACAACAAGGTAGCAGCAGAGCATCTTTGAGTTGCCCGGATGTTTACCGCCTCCTACCAATGTGAAGTAACACACCACAAGAGCGTGGCGCCTTCCTGAGAATGATATCGTTGCTTTGAGAACACGAATGGAAGATTTATGTGTGGGGAGAATTGGGGCCAGGTTACCGCAGACATATTGATTGAGCCTGAATTATTTAATTTGTTCCGCAAACTACCCATTCCGTCACGAGCGTCCTTACGAGAGCCTTTAGGTCAACCAAACTCGATGAGAGAAAGACGTTCTGGGATAAGTGGTCTGATAGTCTTTTCTCGATAACTAAGGAGACTCTGGCCATGTGTCTTATCTCCAAGAATCCCCACTGCTGGGTCTGTGAGGATGGGTTTGGGACGGGCGTTTAGGAAAGGGGAACATGATTTTCTTGAAACATACCACATTCATCGACGTGGAGAGGCATCATTATCTGTAAAGGTTCTGTAGGTAGAAATACAGATACTATATTGTTGCGGCCATTTCTTTAACAATTGCGTGAGTAGCGAGTTCTACCGGCAGAACAGAACATATTTACCCATTTCGTAAACGCCTGGTGTCATCACTGATTTGCAGTCATCCATTCACATTATTTTTATTATGGAGTCTGTTTCAACCTATACTCGAGACTGTCTATTCCCAGGTGTTGACGTCATACATTTCACTATTTGAAATAACAGTTTGATATCCATGTGGGTATTCTTTCCTATTTGTTTCAACAACATAATGTGTCGAGAAAGAGTACGAAACGTAGACATTTTTATGATGGGATGCCGATCTGTTTCAGTTCCGGAGCCAAGGCCGCGGTGAACTGCTCGTGTCTCTCTGCTACCAGCCAGCCGCCAACAGACTCGGAGTGGTCGTCCTTAAAGCCAGGAACCTCCCCAAGATGGACATCACTGGACTCTCAGGTAAATAAAAGCGACATCACCCTTTCCATTATGATGAGAAATCCCTGCTGAAAGCAGACCCCATTACACGATTCTGACTACATCAGAAGCACGTGTTTGTGAATCACTATCAAATAATGATGATACCAGGTGTTCGCTAAAAGGCGAGAGTATCCGGTCCCACCTGCGTAACCCATCACAAACACACGCAAAGGCACGTCAATGAGTCCCCTGAATACGAATATATTATGATTCTAAGGTCATGCTTTTCTATGATGAGACAAACTGTCTATGTTGTGTTGTGATAGACGACCCGTGAAGATCCGGGTTAGAATTGGTCTTCAGTAATCCATGCTTGTCGTAAGAGGCGACTAACGGCACCAGGCTCGCTGACAAATGCTCAGATCGATGCTCATGATGTCAACATTTACAGACCACCGTTATGTATCTGGCATATTGCTTAGTGTGGCGTTAAACAACAAACAAGAACAGAAATATTGTGATAGGCAAAGAAAGGCAGTTATATAGTCAAATAGATATGTTAGAGGAAAACATTCAAGGCATTTTTGTGCCTATTTCCAGTTTAGATCTATAATCCAGACATGTTTGAAATTCAGACATTGTCTTCAGTGTAATCAGTAACTGGTGGACAGATGCCGGGAAAAGAATTTGAGTGAGCAATTATGTGTTGTTTGCATTAACCTGAATCAAATTTCAAAATGACCCAAGTCAAGTCCCCCTTTAAGAAGTTACTGCACAACTGCTTAAGCTTAACGCCCCTCTAATGTCAACATGTAGCACATACAGCGAATGTCATGTAACACTGGATACATATATTTCCAGATCCATACGTGAAGATCTACCTTCTCTACAACGGACAACGGATAGCCAAGAAGAAAACCCACGTGAAGAAGCGTACACTGAACCCAGTCTTCAACGAATCCTTCCTTTTCGATGTGCCCTACAACGAGGGCCTGCAAAACATCAGCCTGGAGCTGCTGGTACTGGATTGGGATCGCATGACGAAAAACGAAGTCATTGGTCGCCTCGAAATTGGAGCCAAACTCGTAGGACAAGAGGCCAATCATTGGAACGAGGTCATGAATTGCCCACGGAAACAGATTGCCGAGTGGCATAAACTGAAGGAATAGAGACTGGGCCAATGTGAAAGACGGGATGAAAGACTGAGATTTTATTTGTGAAAGGAAGCGATTGTGGTTCATTTATTATACGGATTGGACAAAACCACCTTCAGACAGTGCTAAATTTTTAATCGTCTTGACAGATTCTCTGACATGCTTTTTGCTGATCAGCAACATACGTTTGATCCAAATTATTATTACATTTGTAATGTCGATTTCATATGAAACATATGAAAACATTCTCAAAGGTATTATTTAATTACAAATCTTTGAACTTTTCTCGGAACAATATCTCCGGTTCAGGTGTGGATGAACAGTTTAGTAACGTGCATCGGATCCATGGCGGACCCGTTTGGGTGGAATGTCTTGTGAAAATACAAAAGCAATTAGTACTTTCAACTCATAACTAAACACGTTCAACATCAATTGTTTTGATGAAAAATCATGTTTAATTTCACAGTTGTTTACAAACCGTGCTTATGAAAATCAGTTTGTGGTCTTGTAGTAACAAGTTATATTTCAGAATTGTGCAAACAAATTGTATGATATTTTCATCTATCGATTCGTGCTAATTTAAATCTGTCAATTATATTTAATTATGTTGTTTGTTTTGTTTGCTTGTTGTTTAACGCCGTTCTCAGCAATATACCAGCTATATGACGGCGGTCTGTAAGTGATCGAGTCTGGACCAGCTTGTATTTAATTAAGCACAACCCCAACAGTAGTAATACGTATTAAGGATATATAGTAGCCTTTGTATATTTGTCCTTAACGGAACGTCTTTAAACGTACTACTACCAACAAAATCAAGCATCTTAAACAAATTAAACATGATTTCTCGAAGTGACTCGTCACTTTTGTTGCATTTTGGAAATTTAAACCAAGACATTTCTGATAATGTAAATATTTGTTATGATTATGCCTGTACAATGCTTAAAACGAATAGGAATGCTGTTGAAGTGTGGCTGTATCAAACAGCCCTCAGTCTGACGTGAGTGGAAATACAGAGTTAGATGTAGCGTCGCGCCCCTGTTGCGGTGATCAATCACATTATTCTCACTGGAGGGTGGGGAATATGTTGTTCTTATGATTAAGCACATTCGTCACCAGTCGGCCCTTTCCGTCTCTTGCAAGAAGACTCGTCCCCCTGTCAATCAATGTCATTGTCAAGACAAACCAATCTGAAACGGCGTATGACTATGATGACTTTGGTCAAATAACCCCTTCTAAATATTTTGCTTAAAGGTATATGTGCATCTAGGTGTATACCAAAATGACAGAAAAAATGTTTTACCACACTAAATAACAAGCGGTTGTCAATGGCATCCGTGTTATATTTATTTCCATGTAAAATTACAAAGTCGGATGTGGTACAACAAACTGAGTTTATGTTTCCCTATGCCCTTTTGCCCGGAGACGGAACCAAGTGAATAAAATGGCCCCGAGAGAGGCACGAGTCTCCTCAGCTTGTCCCGGAACAGCACGAATGATCACGAATGAAGCAAGTGTTGAGCGGGACATTAATGTGACAAAAACATTATTAAGCAGCCGCTATAACTATATATGTACTACAAATGACCAACGCTGTTCCTGCTAGTTGGTCACAGTGGTTCTGAATGTCAGCTCAGTGTGACAGCAGCAATCGTATCCATCACCCAAGCTCAAGGAACAGGATATATCTGTTACAGCATTGTATTCCAACAAGTGACCATAACAGTACGGTGTCATGGTTCTTGTAAGGTGGCTCTATTACAGCTGTGTTGCTCGTCTGTTAACGTTTCCATGTTCATACCGCTTACATATCGTTGTTATAGCTCAATTTGACAACTGGCAGATGTCACTTGTGTATAGGCTATATATATTCGCTGTAGATAAAGAAACATGTTGTGATATTGTACGTACCTAAGGGCATATATGATCCTACAAAGTTCAATCAAACCCAATACAAGATAAGAATTTCTCATAACCCTTTCCCTTCTCCTCCCTCTCCTCTTCCTCCACCACATCCGCTCCCCCTTGTTCTCTCTCCCCTCCCAACCCCTTCCCCCACCTGCTGTCCCATCTAAAGAAACCCTCACAACGTACCATATGTCCCCTATTTATAACGAGGTGAAATTTCAAATTACCCACGTAACAAGGGGAGATCACTCTGTAGGATTATGTCCAGCTGAGATTTTGAAGATACCACCATTCCGATGTTCTATGAATATAACCACCGGTATTTGTTGTGAATATGTGATATTCTGTTGTTTTTACCTGAGACGGAAGTACATGTTATTGCTGTTTTTTAACCGTCACTTCAACGTTTACCGGTTTCCGTATATAGACTAACATGTACACTGCGCATGCGCAATGATATGCCTTTCCAACTCATGGGTAAAATATCAGGTAATTTAGCGAGGCAGTTGAATATTTCAGTCTATTAAAGTAAAATGATTAAAATTAAACGATTTTCCAAAAAAAAACCCAAAACAAACCAACACTTATTGTGCTTCTTGACCGGAAGCACAAACCAATGTCATGCTCATTTAGCATTGAAGATGTTTGTCACTTTTTGTATGAGCTACGATCCTCGATGATTATTTTGTAAAATTGTCACGGATCTACGAAATCCCACCGTTTGTATATACAAATTACATGTTGACGTGTTCTGTTCCCATAGTGATCGGTCCTAGTTACGGTCAATGTTCTACGATTATTATTTTCTGTTTATCCAAGTCTCCCACTACTTCCTTATATACCTGCTCTCTATCATCCTTAACGATTGTTCGTGAAACCATTCACTTGTTGAACTCAAACAGTATAATTACCAATAGAAAATACGTTTTGCATATGCTGTTGTGCACTGTTACCAAATGTGACGTACACTAGAGAATAGCCTTTTCGAAGGTGACACTGTTACAGCGTATCGAAAATGCACATGTACTGTAACGCCATTGTTCTTATAGACTGAACACTATATAAATATATTTTATCATAGAAATAATTGTACAAGGATCAGACCTCTTAGTTACTGTACATGTATATGTAATTAATTTACCCTCTCCCGGATTATATTTTGTTACCTTTTGTGTATCTGTCATTACCACGTAGAAGAAAAACATATGTAAAATCATGTCAAAAATATAAATAAAATCTTTGTATATATTATATATTTATGTATATTTTCAATCGTTGGGATATGCCAAATAAATTTAATGTGAATATAAGGAATAGGCTCCAAATGTAATACTCTGATAACACCAAGAGTACATACTTTAAATTTCTCGTGGATATACATTAATTATTAACTGTTTATTTGGCATATCTCCATTAGTTATAGTGACGTCTATATGGCTTATCTATCGTGCAGATATGTTGGAACACTTAGCATATTAAAGGGTCATTAACGAGACAACAACACGTTGGAAGGTATGTTTTGCCACGGAGGAAAAATGATGATAATTTTGCGATCGAGATCACATTTGTCAAATGCGTTATATGCTTTGCCTATATGATCAGGGCTCTTGGGAAGATCAAAGCATGTTAGCTTCATTTGTGTAGAAGGAAATGGTGTTTCTTAATATACTCTTTCATTTCCACAGAGCAATGCAATACAAACACAAACAGACTAGCTACCTGCACTGTAGGGGGAGATTACTGTGGCCATGCCGTGCCATGTTTGCTATCTAACACTCATTTAGAATTATACAGCTGCGTCATACTATTGGGTACATGTACGAATACTGTTGTCATGGTGGTAACATCCAAACTTTGCAATCTTCATAATTTACAATACTTCTTCTTAGTGTTGTATTCTTAGCATGTATTGTGGAGTTGGATACTAACATCCCGATTTAAAACATCTATAAAAGAAGTTGATCAAACTGGTACACAACTCGATATCGTGTCTTATATACAGAACAAAAAATGTTAGGGATCATGCATTTTTTTTAGGGATATCATTTTGTAGTGCACACAGGGTACACAATTTCATTAAAATATCCAAAAAATGTTCATATTCCCTAATGTTTTGTTAAATATACATAAAACCCCAACTATTCGAACTAAAACATGCCAATAATTATATTACATGTTTTAAAACAAAATTGCCTGAGAACATCTGGTTGTAAACATTCTTAGACGAGAGATGTGACGATCACAATGATAGATGTCTATCAACACTTCTATATTCCTATGAAAGAGTTTATTAGAACCAGGCATAATTGTAAATACTTATAATACTGTAAAAGCCACCGACATTCGTATCCAACTCCACGCTGATGTTGAACACTGCATGGTGTGGTTGTGGTTATTCATCACGTTCAGATAGATAGCATCCATGGTGGACGTCAGCTGACCGTTACACAACTGGTTTGTGGCTACTCCGGAGTTACATTAGTATGTCATCCAGCGGTAACGATTCCGTGTAATAAAGAGAGCTATTCTTGTTGAATCGCAAGTTATGTTTTCATTTCATATCAGTGAACAGTGATCTCACCTATGCCTATGGATTTGGTGTGTTGTTGAATTGAGATCTAGCTGCTGACGAAGTCGTTGAAGTCAGTTTTAGTTGCCATTTAACTGTGGATTTGCTCCGATTCCCAACTGTTGAATGCATTGGAAATGTTCAGAGCAATAGACATGTGTACGTACCTGGGTTTCTTTCACATTCCTGGCCATCATTGTACATTACCTCGGAAGTTTTGTTTTTCATCAGCATTCGTCACCACTCGCCCCTTTCCGTTGCCTGCAAGAAGACTCGTCCCCCTATCGATAAATGCTATGTGCGAAAATACGACAAACCAATCAGAATGCGCGTATGACTTCAAGGTCTTGGTCAAAGAATCCCTCAGGAATAATTTTTGATTTTACATATGTCTTGCATCTAAAAATATACCCAAGACATTGTTAAAAGTGTCCAACCATACTGTATAAATCCGCATGTCCCGATGCGCTTTAAATTGCATCTGAAATATATATTATATATGGTGAAACATATGTGAACCATTACGCAACGAGTTGACAATTGTTTTAGGCATGCCCGTTTGCGCTAAGATGGAACCTGGTCGCAAAAATAGCCATGAGAGGGGCACGAGTCGCTATTCGACTTGTTCCGGAATAACATGAGTTGGTCACGAATGATTCATCAGTCCACAATTCTTCGGACAACAAATCTCCACGAAGACACCTAGTGTAATGTATTCAAGAAACACGAAAAAGCAGCACCCGTAGGAAGAACTCAACAAATAAACACAATGGTTTTCCTAGAAACGTGTAAAATAATTTCTGAAAGCAACTAATATTATAATTACCCCGATGTAATCGTGTGTAATCTAAACCCGATCTCTCATGCCATGATTGCCTCGAACAAGCATGATATACAAAATTTGGGGCTGGTTATGCTTCTCAGGTTTTTAGCACCATAACCATGCTCTTGGATTTTATCAAAGGGAAACGACCTGCATTACCATAATACACTACGACATAACTGGAATACTGTACAAAGTGGAGTTAACCCCACAGCGTCATTTAGCTGCAACTGTGATGTTAACGTCACAAAAAAACATTCACTCATTCCAATGTGTTGTCGGGATCGCAAAGCCTCTCGAAGGATTTCAACCCTAATGTTGACTGTAGTGAAGTGTCGTAACGTTCTGAGAGAACATTTAATTAAAATAGCTTTATTGTCAGCCGATCCTGTTTTCATAAGTTTCCGCTCAACCGTATCTCATTCCTCTTCCGTAAGCCCCTAGCATTCTTTCTAGGAATTTGACTTCCATTGATACAGAATCAAAGATCCGGATGAAGTTGGTTTACTCAATCGGAGTGCAGACTTTGTTGAAGGCTTTTCTCTCTCGCCTTCAACGTTGCATTGTTTGTAGAGAGGACTAAAATAGTCCAGCGTGTGTAGCGTTAAGTCTTGGGAATACACCTTCAAAGTGAGGCACACGAAAAGGACATTACAGACATTATAATTCAATTTTCAGCCTCAGAAATGTATGCATAAAAACGAGTCTAAAAAAACATAGAAATGATTTTTAAGAATTCCATTTCCCCGACGTTGGCTGGAACAGTTATTAACAATCAATACAAGGAAAATACCTGCAGAGAATTCTGACGGAATGTTTACTTTGTGTTAAACAACGAGAAGAGAATGGCGTGGGATGTGAGGGCAGCCAATATTACCTTCACAGACTTGAAAATACGTTTCTAAGGTTACCATTGATGACCCCACGTTGTCAGGGTTACTATCTTTGACGTCAGCCTTCAGGTTCACATGTTGACTGTGGCAACGGGTCTCGATGAGACAATCTGTGCATGGACGATCATTAGGCAGTAATTGCCATTCCACTCATTGTCTCATTAACTTGGCGCGACCCGACAATTACATATGGGAGCTTATGCCATAAACCCCTTGGCAAGGTTAGGTTTGCCCTCAGATGAATTCTATCAAATTGCTTTGTGTGAATAATAGATTTGGTTAACGACTCCCTGTTATCTGGAAGTAAAGTCGATCTGACACAAGAAGAATTGACAATACTGTAACATCAATACAATATCAGGCATTTCAACTAAGGTTACAATTCAACAGTATAGACTAGTTTGTTCATTACGTGTACTGCACAGCCATGTTCGCCTGGTGCGATGTTACCCTCAGAATAGATTTATTGAAAACGGCATTATATATGAAGACTCCTTTAGCATCGATTTTAGAGATCTGTTTTTCTCTTCCGTAGAAGTGGCAGCTATATTTAGTCGATTTCGAATGAGCTTAGGCTTGAAATAAACGGAGACCTCTATTGAACACGAATTCTTTTATTCTTCGTTTCGCATTTGCATACTTTTTCTATACCGAGTATCACGTGTGTACAAAAGAAATCAACACGCGTTTCGTGATGACTTGATGTCATTTATCAATTTGAATTTGGATAAAAAGTAAACTAGATAGGATCTGCACAGCCAGAGGTTTAGAAGAAATAGAGAAAAGTAACACGCTTTACTCGACAACACCACTGGGTGCCAATGGTATTACTTTTATAAGCACCTGTGTATAAATGCACTTTTTCGTGAAAATAATCGATGTCATGAGATTTGAAGACAAGCTGATAATGAAGTCGATTGAGTCAGTTTGAGTTGCCATTTAGCTGTTGCCTTTCCCAGAGCCTTGACGATTTAATGCATTTGAAATGTTCCGAGCTAGATAAATGTTTTCTTTCCGGCATTGATTCCATCGTTGTACACCGACTCGCGTGTTCCCATATTTACCCATCAGTGATAGTACCATTCATGACAGTTACCGTATTCAGGAAGACACATCGCATCAAGGGATTGCAATGACATATTTCATTTGTCAAATGATAATGATCTATATCAGTATTAAGTTTCATGCCGGGATTCGTATGTCGAATAGGTGTTTTGTGACTTGAAACGAGTTCGTAAGAAATGGCATAGATTCCTGACGTAGAATCCCTTTATGATTTTGACAAATAAATGATGATCAGCCATGGAACATCATCCAATCACCCTCAGGCCAAATCACCTCCTATTTATCTACAGAAATCTGTGAGAGGAAATTGACGTCCTGAAATAGACAAATGTGCCACACTTTACAACGACACACATTAATATGTGTTGACATTTAGGTAGTTGAAAGACAAACAATGGAATATGAAATTTCAGAGTATATGGAGGGAGCTGTTGTTTTATACACTTTAAAATGAGGAAAATAAAGATATGATATATGCTGTACACTGAATAAATTAACAGATCGATAAAAATCATTTTTCAAAATTGATAACGGTGACATATATGTTGAACTGTCAGTAGTATTAATAGAGCGAACTGATGGCTCATCAGCTTCAACATCTGTACAGAGTTGTGTCCCTTTACGGTGACATGATCCGATGATCGTGGGTTATACTATCAGGTTCAACCCACGAACTTGTCAACGTTTACGTGGGATTCACCAACATGGTGTACGTTGGTGCGCATCGCTTTGGATTCCCCGACTTTAAGCTGGCATGCTCTGGTACTCAAAAACTGATCAAATAGAAATTACCCTGGGACAGCTTCGCCTATCCGCATAGGTATCCGTACATTTTACATACGTGTCCCGCCTTTTTTTCGATCCCAGACCGATTTTTGCAGATACCGATGACATACGCCCTGCGAATGGAAAAGCCCCTGTTGTGACGTCACATAATATTGCGAACCCCCATGGAGTCACCTTTTTGCACGCCTTCAACATGGGCTACGTGTGGATACGTGTGGTGGAAATAACCATGCGTAACGTGAAAGACGGATGCAGGGTCGAAAAAAACCTGGACAGTGGTGATCCCTGTTTAACCCTGATACTTTTAATACCACTACATATATCCGTTGTTAAGTACAATAATTTCTCTTTTCAATGAGTACTCAAATATATATATATATATAGTAATAATCAAATAAGCTGAGTAAGATTGAACACAGTTTTGAAATTAAAAGTTTTGCCAATTAAAACTGTGTTCAATCTTACTCAACTTATTTGATTATAACTGTATTACCGTATATATACGCAAGACTTTGCATGTACGCAAGATTTGATTTTGATTTTTGGGAAGATACCATATACATATGTAAACTGATGTATATGCCTCATTCCCTCCAAGTGTCGTTTTTCCTTATCGCAATACGTCAGTGTCTTACACATTTGTACAAGTATTCTCCAGTGGTGTCATTTGTTTATATATAACTTGTAATGCTTGTAAATAATATGATAAAACAAACATCTGAATGCTGGCCTTGTGCAATGAAAAAACCAGTCCAAGTGAGCTGAAGACAGGTGGTAGCGCAGATTTTGCTGTCTTAATACCACAACGTATATGACCCCAATGCACAATGATGTCTAAAACCCCATTTCACCCTACTTTTCTGTACAATACCCACTTGTGTACCAGTGAGATTACTCTATTGGAGACCTTTTGAGTTGCAGTGTCTGAGAGCAATTCTTCGTCTTCTTCTGCTATCGATTTATCGAGCGCAGGTGAGATGGTGAGTGGTCACGTGTCAAATAGACAGCTTCATTGGACTGATTTATCCCCAGGATATCAAAACAAATCTGCCCCTGCATCAAACAAAATTAGATTTCAACTACTTGACTATCTTGACACAGGTGATCTTAAGAATACTTAACACACACTGGTATGCCTTGCGTCTCTTGTGACCACTGACCATTAAACTCTCTCCAAACTGAATCTCCTTGGCACCAATGGTGTCAAGATGAAAGGCTCGGCCAGAGGCTATCGTCTCTGCGGGGCCATAAGAAGTGTCTACATGGAGACCGCCATGAATGTATTTATTGACTACACCAGTAACCCCAGGCGTTTATGGATCGCTATTCAATGTATGAATAAGAAGAAAAGAATTCTGCATTTACCATTTTGCTCTGCCGAACATAAGCATTAAGATATG